CCAACAATTATTCATTCTAATATAACATGAAGATGCCTATAGAATAAATTGGTCAATTTTTTKGTTTGCATTGTCAACAATCATCTGTTTACTGCCTGACTGTACAAGGAGGTCTTCAAGTTTGTCAATTGGAATATCATCTACTTTTTCATGTCTGTTAATGGAAAGTAAAAAACTCTGGAGTGTGTCGTTGAAACAGGTGTAGGTTTCCTTTTTCCCATTTGAATTATCTTTGATGACCAATGTGCAGACACGTTTATCATTCAGAAGTGATGATAGCATTCTCATTTGACATGATGGGCAAGTTATGGTATCGTTTGTTTCATCTGGATCCAATTCTATGGAAGCATTGCACACTAGGCAAGATGTGGACTTTTTGATAAGGGCTGCCAAGCATTGTCCATTTATAATATTATCTTTGATAACTTCTGATGAAAGATTGATATGCCTTAAGTCATCCTTTTGTTCAATAACAGTTGACTCATTGGTTGTTAAATATTTTGTATCGTCAAATACTCTTACTCTTATCCCTTTGAAAAGATATGTTTTTCCACAGTCCACTTTTTCTATATGGTCTTGCCATAGAACCAACTGAATGCTCTCCTCAGTATCAGCAATGATGCAAGTGCTTTTCATGAGTCTCTTTCCTTGTTTCATGATTACTTGATTCTTTTCATCTTTGGTCATTACTTTAGCAAGAACATCAATTGTTTTATACAGGTCTGCTTGGTGGGCTTCACTGACTGTAATGAGTGTCGAAGTTATTTCGTCATTGTACTGATAATCGGTTGATGATGAAGGCACCACTTTTGATTTCTTGGTTATTTTGTACTCTTCACTATCAGAAGAGAAACTTGTTCTTGGCATTCTTTTGACACCAGAGATCTTAACTGGTGACTTGTTGTGATAAGCTTGTTGCATGTTTGCTCTTTTCTGCAAATCAAAACACACTGCTCGCACTTTGTCATGTTCGGTAGTCTGAACAAGGCAGTCGAAGTAAGGTGTTTTGGACTTATGTGCAGCCTTAACAGGACTTAATGAATGGATGTAGCCATTAATGTCAACATCTGAAACAAAAATGCATAAGATTTATACATGAGTCAACAAGGATTTCATAATATAACAAAAATGAACTTATGATGTATGTATAGTAAAGATTATATAGATTGCAAATTATAATGAAGAATGTTCCATGACAAAGAAAAGAAACACACACACAGACACATCAATTTTAAAGGAACAATGCTAATACATAGAAATATGTTTTAGATAACTAAGAGAACTTACCATCGTTTTTGTCTGAATTTTCTGTTCCTCTGAATAAGAAAATATACTGAGTAAGTAATGAGTAGATTTGAAGGATTGTAACTTAGTGTATACTTACTTAGCTTGCATGATTTCTAAAGTCCTGTGATAATATAAGAGAGAAGTATGTGTAAACTACCAGTTATAGAGSAAAGGTGTAAAATCTGTAAAATTGTACTATGTACACAAAGAATGATGGGCATTCAAAGGATGGTGACATTAAGAATTAGAGCTAATAAGTGTATTTCATAAAGTGTATTTAAAGACTAATAATTTGACATTGATTTTCATTATATTTTTGGTTCATGTGAAGAAAGGCTTTAAGTGCAATTTCAAAACAAAAAACATGAAATCTCTATCTACTACAATGCATCAAAAGCAATTTAGTAAAGCACGTATTCCTTTATGGTCTGAAAAATATGTTTTTAAAACTTGAAATGCAACTTGTGATTCAGGTAAGTTGGTATAAATATTATCAATGCAGGTATTGCTATCTGTAGTACTACATGTAACTAATTGCCTATAACCATTGTCTCTGATAAAGAAATTATACAGTGGTTTACACTTTGARTCATTAAACCAGTTGGCATTAAAGTCTCCAATAAATACATTAAATTCAGTTGGTAAAGATTCTAGAATATCTTTGAGTATAGTGCAAATGTCTTCTATTGATCCTGCATGTGATCTATAGATTCCCACAACTGTCACATGAGGAATGACCATGAATCTTAAAACTGTTATTTCTACACTGTTTCTGTTATCACAATATGGRTATCCTGGATAATAATCAAKACAGCTATAAACTGCTGTGCCTCCAAAAGGCCTTACATTTTGTGAACKTCTTACARRRKCATCATTCCTAAACAAGCTRTATTTRTCATCACTCATSAAATATAWATCATCATTGTCAAGTTCAATAAATCTTGTTTCTGTAAAAATATTAACATCAGTACTGGAATAGTTCATGTCTGTGCRTATATCTCTAATGTGCTTATGTAATGACCTTGCATTAAGATAACAGATTTTAACAGCATTTTGAGGTGCAGAATAACTTGGTTTTACTGATAGAGATAACTGACCTTCTGTTCTTAAACGATGCATTTCTGCTTTGACATCATCACTAACAGATATTTTGTCTTCACAGAGATCTGTAACATAAAGGCCATCTATAGTTGTTACTCTACTCAATCCTACATAATGTATATGAGGGATTGCTCTTCTTGTTTCAAAATTAACTACAACCTTGGTTTCAGTATCACCCTGTGATCTATGTATAGTTTTAGCAGCAGCAGGTCTTAATGGAAACTGTTTTCTTACAACTTGTACAGATCTTGTTCTGCCTACAGCAAACTGAGTAGTAACAGGTTTGATTGGTGTCCATGATGGTTCAATACCCTGAACATATAACTGTCTATTATCATGTCTGGTTTTCTGACCAACATCAGAATGGTCAAACTGTACCCATATGATACCTGATGGTTTGTCTGTTTGATGYATTTGTATTAGTTTGATAACATTACCAGCACCATTAGTCATACCATCATCAGTCCTAGTATTAAGAGATATTTCAGTTCTTTCTCCTACTGCTACATGTAGTACTGAATGCAACTGTTTAGTTTTCCTTGGATCATGAGGTACTTGTTTCAATATTTTATCTCTGAGTTCTTGTGTCTCAGCTCCAACTACACTGTCATGTGCTTTAATAGAATATTTGGTTCCTGATAGTGCATTGTGAGCTTTGTCATTAAAATCATTCACTTTTGCATTTTGAATGAACAAATGTGGTGCATCTTTAGGATAGCTTACACTATTTGCAGAAATACATCTATCCTTTAATTTTGCAATGTCTTCTTTAGTTTGATTACCTTCTCTTAATCTATTTAGCAATTCAGCAAAGTCTTTACTTTCTCTTTGTCTCATTATTTGTTTTAGTTCAAACATCTTGAAAAGTTCTTTCCATACATTAGGTGCAAGAACACCATATTCATCATTATCCATGCTTTTGAATATATAACCATCCATTACAGGCTGCAGTTGGAATAAATCTCCTATAGAAATCTCCTACTAACACCACCAAATGGTAGTGAGCTACCTTTGATATCTTTGAGTCTATTATATATTTGAACATTGAACATTGTATTGCCTACCATTGATATTTCATCAATGAATATAAGTTTAATCCTACCAAGTTGGCATCTTATTGTGTTCATTCTACTTGAATCAAGGCTCTTATACCTCTTTAATGACTGACATGCTGGTATTGCTAATGCACTATGGATAGTGTTKCCCTTTATATTRTATGCTGCTTTCCCTGTAGGTGCTAGCATTAAAAGTTTAACTTCATTGAAGTTAATACCTGGTCTGGTGTTATAATATTTCAATGCAGCCTGATACAATGCTTTAGTGACATGTGATTTACCTACTCCTGCACCACCACTTAGGAAACAGTAAAATGGATCATCTGATGTCTTTATCAAATGCAAAACATGATAAAAGAATTCTTTTTGTTCTTTATTTAATGTTTGTACCATACGTCTATATTCATCATCTGGTAGTTCATTCATTGTGAGTGGTTCTGTATTATCAACTGAGGGAATTCCTAAATCATCTGATAGATTATAGTTTCCAGTAAAATCAGGATGTAAGTCCTGATCACCTTCAGCTTGGTCTTGTTGTTCAATACTTTGTGTAMAAGGTGCTATTTCATCATACCTATCCTCTATTCTACTCATTTCCTGCTGCATTTCATTAAAGTCTTCATTGCAAACAGCATATTGCTTCATTTGTTCCTTGATTATATTGGAGACTGACATAAATCGATCCTGATACGATGAAAAATTTCCTAGTAAGTCAGTCTCCTCATTTCTCCATGAAGTAAACAGCATTAAGAGTTCACGATAATGTTTTTCTGGTTCAGTTTGAACGTTAAACCATACACTTCTTATTATTCTAGCTTTAGTTCTTTTTTTTGTCTTAGGCATGGATGTGCTTSAACATTCATCATCATCATTTTGATTGTCATCAATAAATGTTTCCAATGGAAGGCCATCAATGTCTACATCATTGGTTTGTTTTGCATATGGTTTRATGTTGCAATTATCATACCATGCAGCCCAGTCTGCTAGTGTCAAATTTTCATGTTTTTTTTGACGTTTACAATATCTTTTTAGCAAACCGCTAGTATAGATTTCTTCACAGTTATMTTCCATATTTTTTATATCATCTATTGGCTTTAGAAGCTCCACCCTCTCATCTGGGGGTGAAGTGTTTATGAATATAATTTGCCTGGATGATTTTCTCATGGGTAATTGTAGGACAATATACACTGCTTCTTGTGCACTTATTTCAACATTATTAAGAAACTTACTTCCTATATCTCTAACTTGTTGTTTTATGTTATTATTACCTTCTCTAGCTTCAGTACAAGCTTGTCGCAATAGTTCACTCATACCTTTTTGACCTTTTGATATGTAATTGACTATATATACAGCACAKGCATACACATYTAATACAAACTGTATGTCCATGTTAGCTCTCCATGCACTAAGACAAGCAGGGTTATAATTGTTTAYACGAACCTCATTAGGACTTCTTCTCAAAAATRCTGTAGGAGTATTTAGAGATGATCCTATAGCAAGTAAATAGTTTTCCTCAGTAATATTCAAATTAAGTAATAATTGATCAATTGAAATATSTTCATCTTCCTTGAGGTCATTCAAATAGGTTTTGATAGATTTCCAATTATCTTTATGCATTTTAGTTTCACTGTCTGGTGTTTCTTTGTCTAGAGGATGAATTATCATTGTTTGTCTCAATGGAGGTTGTGGATAGTTGAACCTACATGGACTGCTTGTATTTTTACGGCATGTATGTGAATGTCTATGTATCTGTCTATTAACAAGATTCAATAGTTCTGGATCATCTACTGGTTTTTGACATGAAATAATTTTATCAATGAATGTAGTAACTTGTGCATCACTGTCTACTTGAAACTGTGGAGCCCCTTCAAGCCATACTAACATGTGAATATGGGGAGATCCTCTTTGTTGGTATTCTACACGGTAAAACCAGTCAGATATTTTTCCTAAAGGTTCARCAGAACTCAAGAGAAAGCTTGTAAGAAATTGATTTACTTGAAAGTCAAAATGCCTAGCACATGTTACAGGGTCACTCTGAATTAAGCGGCACCTGTCATCCCAGTTAAAATTCTCTATTTCTTCATCAGTATATATTTTTTTGTCAATTAGTTCTCCAAGAATTCTAAGTAAGTGCAACCATTGGGTTTCAGCTGATGAGAAACTACAAAACAATGTAGCAGGTCCCAGCTGTCTTATCATGGCAAATAAATCCTTTTTAGCCTTCTCAAAGTATGGAGGTGAGCCTCTTAATGCGTTTAGAAATTTATACCCTTCATCATGACGGATTAATCTGTCTAAAGCTCYTTGCTGTTTCAATTGCCCTGCATTAATATTTCTATTATTTCCCTTGCATTTTCTAAGAGCTATATGTGATTTTCCTAAAAGTATTTTCATCTGCAGCTTCTTTGTTTTATAGAAGATATTTTCAATGCACATGGCAGCTCGTCTATCTGATCGTCTTAATTCTGACTTACAAATATCACTATAAGTAATTTTGACTTTTCTTTGCTTTGTTTCTGGTCGAGCTTGCCCAAGAAATATTCCAGGGTATGCTAATTCCTCACAATACTTATCTCTAAAAACACTCAACGGTCTATTACCTTCACCTGGAGCAATATTAAGAATATTCTGTCGTTCATTATCTTCTAAAAAGTCAGTTGCAGTTAACATGGTATCAGTTACACCTGCTGGTAATTCCACCTTGTCTTCATTAAATTCATCATTATCATCTACATTCACACCAGTGACATTACTGGAGACATTGATATTTTCATCTGATTGTGATGGCAAGCTATCATTATTGTCTTCATTATCAGATTGTAGAGTTTCTATACTGTATTTGTTGATCCAATCATCATTAAATACTATCCCTTCATCTCTGTATAAACTACTATTTGTCACAAACCATTTTGCTGCTTGTACAACYTTATGTGGTCTTATATTTAAAGATAATGCTGAACTTTTATACTGGAGTTTTCTCTTTAAATTGACTTTAATGGTAGCAGTTTGGCTCTGTAATCGTGGTAAAATGTTTACTGTATGAGTTACATCTGCAGGGACATTTACAATATTACCATGTATTTTTAACTGTCTACCTCGAGGAGCTTGCATTAGCTTTTGAAAAGCAATCCTTGGTGCTAGTAGTCGACATTCTAATTCATTCAAGTCAAAAAAATCTGGTTTTTCTGGAAAAGACATACCATTAGCTATAGCACATGGTGGCACCTTGTTTTTTATCAAATGATTCYTRCAAGTGTTACARAYCCACTCTTTGTTATCAACACTGGCTTTATTGCACAGATATTTTGCAATATCAGGATTAGACTGCCTAAGTTTGTCTGCATTAATGACACTATGTCTGTACCATAACTGGTCACAACAACTACAGATGTAAACTGGACCTTGTTTTACTATTTCTTGGAACTTTTTAATTGAAGAATCAACAGATATACTGGCTTTTTCCTTTGTAGACGCTAAATTTGCCCTTCGATTTCGTTCAYACTCATTACGCTTAGCTTTTTTCTCTGCAGATGATAAACTTGCTCTACGATTCCGTTCATATTCATTACATTTAACTCTTTTCTCTGCAGATGCTAAACTTGTTCTATAATTCCGTTCATATTCATTGCGCTTAGCATTTTTCTGTGGAGATACCAATTTTTTTCTACGATTTCTTTGATACTCATTAGTTTTTTTTTCTTTTCTCAGGAGAGTCAGTAGCCATTCTATATTGCTTCATATAAGAAGCATTATCCAGCCTTTTGTGTTTACGATTGTTTAAATTTTGATTAAGTTGTTTGTTACTGTCATCCATTTCATTTCTATTGTTAGCTGAACATGTTGAAACATAATGCATTTCACCAATGTGACCGATATGTATGTGTCTCCTGTTTTCTAATAAATTGCTATGTGCAGGCTCAATTAAAGTGATCTCCCTGAAATTTTGACTTGATTCTATAATATGAATCTTTAAATTCATTGCATCAGCAACTGCTTGTATGACAATGTTATCAGCCCATGTGCCTTGCTTAGACATATCAGATAAATATTGAGCCCATGGTGTATCTTCTACACTTTCTATAAATCGTTCTGGATTTTCAGTCAAATATCTAACTCCTAATGCTCTGATTTCCATATGATGACTTGAATCACCATATAATTGATGAGATATTGATTTAAATAAACAATCACCTCCTCCGCCAACATCTAATGGTCGTAATCCATATCTAAGCATTCTATAGTGCAATATGAAATCTGGGTTAACAAAGGAAATATTTTCAATAGAATTTCCCATCATGGGACCTGGATTCAATTCAACATCACCTGATAATAAAAGCTTTTGCATAGATACATTATATTTCACAGGAGAAATTCTAGTTCTCATAAAATAAAATGAATAGAAACTGTCTTGTCTATGAATATATCTTAACCTCCACTGCTTATAATTTCTGGCAATTTTATAGATAACGGATGAAATGGGACCTGATCTTATCAGTATTTTCTTAGACTTGCATCGATGTTTTCTATTTTTCAATATAATCATGATCTTTTTCAAATTTATTCTAGATGGCTCTCTTTGTCTTCTTCGATTTGGTGACTTTAAGCAAATTCGAGAATGTCTGTGATTTTGTACACATGCTAGTTCTATTAAGCTTATATCTTTAATACATTTTACTTGCTCTGATAGATTGAAATAGGTATTGTTTATCTCCTGAAAATTACTTGAACCAGGCTCAACTTTCATTGAAGTATTCATTGAAGTGCACGTTTCGTTTTCTTTTAAATCGTTTTCTGAGTTAACATGGCATAAACAATTTATCCCACCATTAGTTACCTCGATTGTTGATTTGTTTTGATGCTCCCGAGGGAGTACAGTTTTTAATATAGCTTCCCGAAGGAACACTTGGCACCCGCGAACGGGCAATATAGCTCCCCGAAGGGAATTCATAGCTCCCCGAGGGGAWTTCATAGCTCCCCGAAGGGATTTCTTAGCTCCCCGAAGGGATTTCATAGTTCCCCGAAGGAAATTTGTTTGGCACCCGCGAACGGGCTTTTCAGCTCCCCGAAGGGATTTTTGGCTCTCTTGAAAGAGAATTTTGGCTCCCACATTAGAACATAATTTTTGGTAGCAGCTAAAGATCGACAATTCGTGCACATAACGACAGGATTTGGTAGGATAAACCGCTTTTTCACGTCTCAACAGAATACGCTTCGATACTTCGCTTGTTTTCTTTACAGGTAAACACCTTAAAACGTCAGAAAACCTGGAAAAACTTTTAAATGCAAAGACTTCATAGAGGCARCGAAAGCTGAGCCTGGTTTTTGATGTAAAGTAATGTAAAAACATGACTTGAAGAATCAAAACTCACCTTTATAAGTGGATTTGTTTGAACAGAGTTAGTTTGAAGTCAAGAGACTGAGCACATGGTAAATTCTTCTTGTCAATATTAATTCGGAGCAGGCGGTCGCCTGAATTCGGAGAACGCCCGGACATCTATCGGATACAAATGACTTTGGCAGTGATTATTGAGGAGTCTGGTAATGAATTGGATGTRTTGTTGCGCATGTGCGAGGCTAGGTAACTAAGATCAGTTAGCTCTGACTTCACAGCAGCCCACAAGGATAGGAAAACCTTGATTTTCTACTATAAATTGTTGCTTAAAGCCGAATGGTTGACGGATATTATACGGTAAGGTGTTCGGTAGAGCGACGGACTACTCAGTAAGGGAGGCTTAGGTAAATTTCTACTATACCCGAGGGATCCACCATTAGGTAGAGAGGATAGTAACTACACAGGGAACCCAGTAATCAAAGTCTGTACAGAAATGACGTCATTACACAGGCAGCCCAAAACAGATTGATTTGAATRTACGATCATTTACGAAGGATTGACGAGGGATCACGATCAGTCATCGGAGATAAAACGATGTTATCCCGAATTACATTCACACCCACGCACTCCAGGCGATAGCATAGTGGCTTGAGCCTCGTTCCGAGGCACTAGCCACAAAAA